GCAGTGTAAGCCCAGAGAGACTCCAAGCTGGACGTAGGACAGAAGACAAGGAAGAGAGTGTTCTAGGCAAAGGACTAGATGTGCAAAGGCCTAGAGGCAGGAAGAAGCCAGTGAGTCTGGAGAACCTCGTGGTTCAGTAATGCAGAACCACAGGAGATGAAGCCAGGAAAATAGGAAGAGACAAGATCCTGAAGGGCCTTAGAAGTAGGTGAGTAAAAGAACTCGGGACTTCAACCCATGAGCAGTGTGGTGCCACAGAAGACTCAATTACTAGAGGAACACCAGGATGTTCAGGTAGGCCCTGGCCAGTTGTATTTCAAGGCTCAAGGACATACAGAAAAATGTAAGACTCAGTCCTGAGCCTTACTGACGGGCAGGTCGCATGGACTGTGTTGGTTAATGCAGCCATGCTGTGCATGATGTGAGCCCAGGCACACAGGGGCGAGGATTCAGGGGCAGGGTAAGAGACATCTGATATCTCCTTTAGTTGTCAACACAAACTTTGAGCACTGTCACTTATCCCCATTTTAAAGAAGAAAAGACCAAGGCTCAAAGAAGTTAACTTCACAGTGTCATATAACCAGGAAGGAAGAGTACAAGATGAAAGTGCAGTCAGCAAGCTTTCTCCTACTCTATGCAGCCTTCCTAAGTGTGGGCCAAAGGTTATGGGAAAGGCTTAATGGAAGAGGTTAGGTCTGCAGAGTTAGAATGCTGTCCATGTGTCCCAATGTCATCTCCCAGGCTGTGCAGTGTTGGCTAAGGGTTTGACATTTAGGCATTTATGAGCCTGAATAGCTGAGGATCATACTGATGAAGTGTCTTAGAAGTTTATCTGTCAGGACCTTGGAGTTGAGTCTTGTGCCTGCTCTGTGAAACAGACAGCAGCTTTCCAAAGAGTAAAGTGAGGGATTTCCCAGAGACATCGACTTCGGAAAACATTCCTAGCTTCTGGTGTCTGCAATTACACATAGTGGGGATGTTGGTTATTTGAATTAGAATGGGCAACTGACATGCACCTAAAATGTCTCTGAGGGAAATATGGTGACGGTCAAGTTGTATAAGGATGGATGAGCCATATCTGTAGAGGTCATGAAAAATTGGCATACTCTCAAATGCCACAGGTAGATTCTCAAGTCCAGAGCTGAGCTAAATGGCTCTCCACACTAGCCTGCCATGGAATACAGGTTCTCTAGCTATGTTGACTGAGCCTCGCTGCCAGGTACACCATCAGCAAGTTGTGAAATTTGGACATCCTGTAGAAATGAGCTCTGTCTCTATGCTCAGTGCATCTTAAGAACTGAAACCAGTCTCCATGACTGAGGGGCTTTAGTAGCTGATGGGCAAAATACAAACAAATAAACAGGGAGAGCCAATACAGAGTTTACAGATATTCTGAGGTTCTTTACGTACATGTCCTTCCATCCCCCCTTACCCTCAATTAGCTTAGCAGCTGTTTAGAAGGTAACTGGAAAAGAAAGTTTCTGAGAGTATCTACACCTGGGCATGGCTTATCCTTAGTAGATGTTACACCAAGAATTTTCCTTCTGCCCTATCTCGTGACTCATTTCTTTACTACCACCCCTACTGCATCCCAGGCCCCTTTCATTCCAGATCCAGCATGGATGCCCCTTGGCTTTCTTCTGGGTATGATACCCAGTGCCTCCCCCAAGTCATTGCTGCCACTTCACCTGCCCCTCCTCCTGAACCCACGTCACTCAGCACTGCAGGTCCACCTTCAGTAACCTTCCTCAGTCAGTCACTCCAGCCCCCCTTCCATAGAGATCTTCAGAAGAAGCATTTCCACACTTTCCCCAGGCACCACCCTCTGGCATCCAGAGTGCATCAACGTGGGGATTGCCATGTTCCTTTCTGTAAGGTCCCTCTTTTCCTCTCACTGTCCACACTGGAGGAACATAGTAGTCCTCCTGCCCTGGCCAGCCCTCCTGGCAGAGACAACCAAACCACTCCTGAGCTTTCTCATCTGAAGGCAACACAGGTGTCCTTCTATTACAGGCCCTGTTTTTGGAAATCGCTTGGGTTTTGTGTGTCTCCTTCAGTTCT